CAGGCTCGCCAAGAAATGTGGGAGGTTTCTGCTTCATGAACCTCTCAAGCAATGTCAGGCGTTGTTGAGCAGGATTTGGATCCTGGGGAGGATTCTGAGCATTTTGGAATGCCTGGAACATAGCAGCAAACTGTTCCATATCGAAGGCTGGGGCAGCAAGTGGGGGATTGCGCCTCGGCGGCATGCTTTCAGATTTGACTGTGAAAACTTGACAGAGTTAGTACTGATGATGATCCTCAAACAAAAAAGGAGTAAAACTCGATAAAACCGTTTAAAAGTGGTGCTACATTCCCTAGGTTTCCCAACCTAGGCTCTGATACCAAAATCTGTGACGCCCCTAAGTGGGGGTTATGTAATAAAAGTGCGGTAACGGTGCACAAATAGAAATAAAATAAAATAAGACTCCTAAAATAAAAACAATGTCTGCCCATGGGCCTTTAAAACAAACTCTCCGTTAAAACCCATAATTCATCGTTACGTTAAAACTTGGATCCACAGTATAATGTAGCACCAATAAAATATTTAACAGTACGATCATCATCATCAGTTACAATTTTGTCCAAAGTAATCCAATCAAGGTCTTACACAAATTTAAGGAAGGAAACTGAAAATGGTAGATCCTCTACGAGGGGCACGCTGATCGATGACTACTCTTCGTCCGAAAGGTTGCACTGTACACCCCCTGGAAATGAAAGAGGACAAATGGGGTGAGCACGGAATGCTCAGTAGGAGAACTATTACTCACTTTTAGTTTTATTTACCTTTCCCAAATTAAACCTGCATGGTTAGTAATTTCTACTTTTTATGCACAATAAATTATGAAACCTGTGTCAGTGAGATAATCTAGTCTGTACACTCAAGACGATAAACCCCCGAAGGGCGCAGTGACTCAGAGAGACTGATTGTAGGGAACTCTAACTCGATGTCCTTACCAGATCAGTTCTCGAACCACGGGTGAGGGTGAACTGTCGTTCTGGACCCTCACCAGGACGTAACCACTGTACAGTAACCTTGGGGATTCTCAACCCCGGAGAGCGTCATCACCTCTCCCTCTTTTACCTTTTTCGGGTTCACACCCAGGGATGGTGAATGGCCACACCTACTGTTAGCACACTATCTCACTATCGTGTCCGGTTTACATTCTCCTAACCATGCCTTTGTGTCAATTTCCAAAATTATGTTAAAATCTCTTGGCCACGCTGTACATTACAGGACGGGCCCCTAATGGTTCTGTTTCAAGTCATATCGTGTAACAGTAATAAATAAGTTTGATATATAATTTTAAATCTTCTCAAATTTAACAAAATAAATTAAATTAAATAAAACTCCACAAAAGTTAAGTAAT